CCCTTCCCAGCAACCATATAAAAAAATTCCCTTCTATAAAGAACAGCTGGCAGCAACATGCATTCTGAGAAAGCTATTATCTTACCAGATTACACAGTGTTTTATTTATGTAATGTGTCACCGCTGTAAGAGAAACTGGTATCTTTCAAGTTTTGCTTTATTGGAATTTTATGCTGAGCTCCTTAATCCAGCAAAACACTCTCTTAGATACTGCCTTAAATGAAAAGTGATGAAAGAAGCCCTGAGACTTTACACAAATTTTCTTTGCACAGGTGTACGTGTTAAAAGCACAAGGACATTGTGTTAATAAAGCACAGACAGTAGGCTCCAATCACTCCCCCTGCTTATGCAAGCACTGATCAGACAAAAATTGGAAGATGAAGTCATTAACTATAAGGTAGTTTATCTAATCTGAGGTCAGGGGGTTTCTAACTCTGATCCAGGAGGGCTGCTAAAGCCAGCAGAAATGGTTAGTGCGGCTCCTCAGCTATGTAATTATTCCACACAGGTCTGGGGAAGCCCTGGGATTTCTGGTGTAAGTCCATTTTCATGGTATCAGACAGACCTTCCCAACACATTTCACCTTCCTACAGACCAGCCTCACTTTTCTTTTCAGACTCTCATGGCTACAACTCTCTGTTTATGYCCATCATATACTCTATTTCTTGGGATACCCTTTGTTAATTCACTCTTGACCCCCAGCTGGCAGTCAAACAAAAAATTCTTGCCACCAGTTCCAGGGAGGAAAAAAAGATACTCCAAGGGATACATTTTGAAAGAACTTTACTGATAAGATCAACTATGCAGCATATCAGATGGATCAGAATGATGTAATACAGATGTTGCACAAAGCAAATGAGTAGGTGGAATGATTTTACAAACTTCGCAGAAAGAAATCTTGATATGTAATTCTGGTAAGGTTTAGGATTTTAAGAAGCAGTAATGGGTGGCCAGGCTAACAAAGGCCAATTGTGCCTGTACCTCAGCTGCTGAGGGAAGAAGCACTGCTCCATGCCATCAGGGCACAGCAAAAGTGGATGCCAGGTGAGTGGGACCCAAGAGTAGGCACATGCAACCCACAGATGCTACATCTCAGGCAGGAGCCAGATGCAAGAGCCTCAGAACAAAAACATCTAGTGAGAAAAAGTTGTGGAGACTCTCCTGAAGTTCCTTCACTTGAAAAACTCCCAGGTTGACCAAGGCATTTTAATCTGCCAGCCAGCCTTGAGGACACAGCTAAACTTCTCGGAAATATGCTCCTGCCCTAACACAGCCAAAACCCACCACTGTATTATACAATCACCAACTGAAAAATGCATGTTAAAATTGCAGTAAAGGGATGTGCTGTTGCAAGGACTCCGTCTAAACATTAGCCTTATTTTCCTTTGGTCACCTAAACCAGCCTGACCTCATTCTCTGGTTGGTTGCAGCTGCACAGGTGAAAGGTTTATCCCTTCCATTCCATCTTACCTCTGCCTGTTGCCTTCCATTTCTCTTCTTAAGACATGTCTCTTCAGCTTGCCTTAGGCTAAAAGCATCAGCCCATATCACTATCTCTGGAAAAGAAAATATTTTTACATTATTGTATCATTACTAACCGCTCTCTATATGATTTTATTTGTTCCTTATGTTAAAAGCAGCCTTTCCACCCCACCTGGTGGGGCTGAGCAAGTGCCTGTAACGCAGCATTAGTGCGTACCAAGCACAGCTCCACCTTGCCCGCCTCAGCTTGTACAGTACAGCTGCCAATGTCCTCACCCACAATTCCTGCTGGGGACAGACACACGGGCACTTTAAATGCACACCCAGATGTCACACGGCACGGCAGGCACAACCCTGCATGTGCCTTAGGGCTGGATACAGCCCGGGTTGGACACACCTCTACACGGGATTTACTGCCATATCTGCCTCACAAGGCAAGGACRAACGAAGGTTACAAAGCTGCAGGCACAGGAGTCGATGCATTATTTCTGAACAATTCACCATTCTGGTGAATGGCACCAGAATACAATAATGCATCATTATGTAATAGTAAAAAATACCCCAAAACCTCCTCGGATGCTGTATTTTCCCTGCTGTATTTTCCCTGCTAAAACATCCACCACATATTTACACTTCACATGCACTTCTCTTTCCATGCACTTGAAATCACAACATGGAAATGAGAACCAAGGTTTACAAAATGAAGCAAATATATGTTCCCTTCAGTTTATCTAATAATTTTTTTCATTTACTGCTGTCATTCCAAACTGCAGTACGCTCCTACTGAATCTCTTCAATCCATTATTACAGCTTGCCAAGCACCAGTTGATATGACACAATCTGCTTCAAATCCTGGGCATTTGCTAYGTTTAAAATGCGCTTCCCTAAAATGGACATCTGCAGACCTTTAGSTTTTACCCATTTTTGTCAAGGTCTTGACATAATTTTCCAGTAATGCAGTGCTTTGAATTCCTTATAGACTCAAAACAGAGGTAAATGCCTTACTAACCACTAAGTATATAACAGTGCTATGAGAACTGGATCCAGTGATGAATGCAGTGTTTTAAATCCAACAACAACAACCCAGGCTGCCATGATCCTGCTGAGTTTGTGCTACACCAAAGTCCCAAGATGCTGACTATAAGAAAAAACAGACAAACCACATTTATCATTTCCCTGGATTCCCACCAGCCCCCAGGATWACATGACAGACATGTTTTCACTCGCTTGTGGAGATGTTTTTACCCTCACTGCTAGTCTTAGATCTATTTTATTATGTACTTCATTTTCTCCCACTTCTTCCATATACGTAAACACTTAGCATCTTATCTTTTATTTAGCTGTCCTGTTTTCTTTCTCAAAAGAGATTTTTAGTACGCACTTCTGATGAAATGCAGATGGCAGAAATGATTACACTTCATGTGTCCAGCACATCAACAGAACTGCCACWGCAATCCCTCATAAAACACTGATAACTGATGATATATTTAACATTATAACYCACAAGTGCAGCAAAGAAGAAAACATGAGTTCAAATAATACCAAATTACTACTGTGGTATMATACCACATGATGAGACCCTGTCAATCAAGCCCTGATCCAAGCAGAAGACCCTTGTCCCAGAAGGACATAAAAATCTCTGAAGGTACAGCCAGGAGGGATGAGTGGAATCCATAGAAAACTCCCTTATTCCATGCTCCCTGCAATTTTTACTTATGCTGCTCCTCAATTTATGCTGCTTATTCAAAGGTTGAACACATATAGAGTATTTGAATTATGAATGAGAAAAGTATTTCTTATTTAAAGGTCACAAACTTTCATCATACTGTAGAAATAACTCAATTATTTTACACTAACGCTCCAGTAAAAATGGGGAATGAGAGATAACTAAAGCCAGTGTGCAACTTCAGTTTCTTTATCACTTTTCAGAACTAAATTCTGATGTTACTGACATTTACATACAACAGAACATGTTTGGTCATTTTAATGCAGCTCTTACAAGGTTCCAGTTCATACATAGGTATCCAGTCACAAAATTGACTCGCTGTTGTTTTCCTTGCTGACCTTTCTTTTCCTCTAAGGCTTTTTTGTAGGAAAGCAAAGCATTAGCCATTGTGCCAGCTAGCATGACAGTACAGAAGCTTGTCAGGAAGCTCTGCACCCAAGCTGTGTATTACCAGCAGCCCTACAGGCCTTTCCGTAGCTCCACAGTAATCATGATAGGTAGCTTGGTTAAAGTTTCTGCACTTTATCGGTCTCTTGGCTCTTGGCAATAAAACACCTTCAGGAAACAAAGTAAAATGGAAGATTARGCTAGGGATTTATTTGGCAGTTTCCTCTTTATTGCCCAAGTCCAGCTCACACTTGGGAGAACCAGAGGAACTCTCCTGATTATAACTCTTTTCTTCCATTCGTCCTTTGACCAGGACCRTAATAAAATTCGCTTTATAGCTCTAGCTTAGCGCTCCTTGAATACAAGCATGCATTAATGTTTACCTTGGTTTCCCAACATTCTGTTGGCATTGCATTCAATGGCGAAGAAGATTGACACAAACTTTTATTTGCAGAGAGTCCATGATGATGATATAGAGTCAAACTGCCTTAGGAAAAAACAAAAGACAGAGAAAATGTGATAGGCATAAGGGGGAATTCTCCCAGTGATGAGGAAGGGATTACTGATTCTCAGAATCGCTTAGGTTGGATAAGCCCTTTCATTGAGTCGAACTGCAAACCTAACATTACTAAGCTCATGAAAAGGTGGGATGACCAAGAAGCCTCCTCCAYGTGCTCTTTACCATGCAGCTGGAAAGATACATTTAACAATTTTTACCATGCTTCCCTTCTGGCATTGCTGCCAGGTCATCGTGGACCTAGACCAACTCCCGGTGCGGAGCTTCCACCTGCGAGGGCACTAGTGCGGCCGGGAGCACAACTGGAACACACTGTGCAAGTGCTGCACGCAGACTCTTACGGTTCACGTGCGATTCACTTACTACTATKAAGTACGATTCGCTGTTTAGTCACGGTAGAAATTGGGGAGGGGCGTGGGAACAGGGCAACAGCTGTGGGCCAAGGGCAGCTGGTGTCTGCCGCCGGGGAGGGTCTCTCTCCGCACTGCCCGGAGCGACACCCCCGGCCCAGCGCGGCAGTCACGGAGCAGAACCGACCACGTGCGAATCGCCGGCCCGCGGGAAATGGGAACCTGCGGGAAACGGGAAAGCCGCGGGAAACGGGAACCGCGCGCCCCGGCCCCGCCCCCGGGCTCATCCCAGCCAATGAGCGGACACACAGCGGGGAGGGGGCGGGATCTCCGTGGTGACGTGGCGGCGCGTGACGCGCGGGAAAGGTTCCGTGCTGAGGGAGCGGCGGGGTCACGTGGGGGAACAGCGCCACGCCCCCGCGCTGCGGACCGTTCCATTACCCGCCGGATAGGGGAGAGCAGGAAGCTGGGCGGAACCACCGCGCCGCTGCGGGCGGGGGGCGGGGCCAGCCCGGGGCGCTCCCGTGACGCGGCGCGGGGTGGGGCGGCGGCGCGCGGCGGGTGCGCGGCGGCAGCGGGAGTCGAGCGGGCTGAGGCAGAGGAGGAAGCGCCGAGCAGGAGCGGGAGCCGCAGCCCCCTCATTTCACCGCATCGCCACCATGGGCCGGACACTCAGGACACTTGCGTTCCCCCTTGCCGTCGTTTCCCTGGCGTACTGCTTCTGCGGGCTGGCCGCGGTCGCAGCGACGAGCGGCGACAACGCGGTCGTCGGTGAGTGATTCGCGCCCTCCCCCCCCTCCTTTCCTCCGGGAGCTGCTGACGGGGCAGCCCCGCCCCGTGCCCAGCGCTGTGGGSAGCGGGGCGGGCTCCGCGTACCGAGCCCCGCCGGGGCTGACCGCGCTCCCCCCGAGCCTGCTGCCGGACCCTCCGCGGGCAGCGGGTCGGGAGCGCCGCGGAGCCACCGGGACCTGCCGGGACCCGCCCGGCGCTCGCTCGGCCGCCGCCGCTTCCTGGGCGCCGTGGCCGCAGCCCGCCGAGCTTTTGGGCCGCTGTCCCACTTGTGCCGGTCTGGAGCCCGTTATCCCGTATGGATATATGACCCTGCAAGTGGCCTGTGGTCCCCCTTGGCACCCCGCAGGTGGCCGGGAGCCGCTGCCAGGGGAGTGTGTGCGCCTGCCTCCTGCACGCTTGGAACGGGTCTCGGAGCAGGGTGCMTTGATTTTGCCGTGTCGTTGTGTCCCTGCTGCCGCGTGTTCCTTATCCTGCTGTGAGTCCCGTTACCCGTCCTGGGCGTTTGCCCGCAGCTCTCCACTGCTCGGGCCCCGTGGCCTGTTTGCCAAAGTGTTTGCCGGGCCGAAAACGCGAAACAGAAAAAAAAAAAAAAAAAAAGACAAAACAAAAATTTCCCTGGAGGCGCTTCAGAGTTCCCTGGCCGCGTGTCGCAGTGTGGTGCAGCCGAGGGTCACCGCTGCTCCAGCCCTTCTGGAGTTCTCTCCAGCCCTGCCCCGCCGGTGTGGGACAGACACGCTGAGGGAGCCGGGGGTTGCTCCGACACCGCTCATACAGGGCTTAACACACCGCTCCTCTGCAACGGGAGAGGGCACTGTTGGTCCAGCAGGACAGACCCCACTAGTGATTTCAGGTTTCCTCCTCGAGTGTAAGGGGAGTATCCGTATTTACCTTGCGCGAGAGCCCCTGCAGCGGGTTTATCTTGGGAGCAAACACCAGCTTGCCTAGGCTGAAAAGCTGAGTTMGTGGTATCAGGCTTTTATTGTTTTTTCCAGTGAAGAGCAGTCGTCTGCTGATGGGGACAGCTGGGGAACTTGTCCCATTTGAAAGACCCCAACAGAGCCTTTCATAGCAGGAGGTAGTATTGGAAAAATGTCTYAGACCCTGCTACAGATTCTGAAGTTAACAGCTCATTGATAAAAACATCTCCTGATCMTTTACTCTTGCAAATCTGTTCCTCCCCCATGTTAGTCTGAGAAATGTGTGTTTGAAACTAAATTAGAAGTCCTAGTGTACCTGGTTGGTATAAGTTGGCTCTACCGACTGTCTTCCTGTATTAACAGATGTGCTGTGCTGAATTTTCCATGTACCAGTTAGGAATCTACAAAAGTGAAGGTTGTTCATTTGTCAGAAATTCGTGTTATGTCTGCTGTGATCATTCCTCAGATGTATACCCAGAATAATAATTGACTGACTTTGTTTCCTCCTTATTTTTKTTTCCTCCTGAAACCTGTTATCAGAAAGGAACAGTCATACAGCTCTTGAAGTGCATTTGAGTGCTGCCTTCCCAAAGGGAACAGGGCAGCTGTTGCACACCTCACTGATGCAAACCCACAAAGGTCTTTTCATATCTTCTTATGTGAAATGGAAGAAATAGTGCCAGCATTTCTGACCTGATCCTACCATAACCAAGAGAAAGGCCAGGTAGATTCAGGCTGAATTTAGATTTTGTCAGAATGCTGAAGTTATTTCATGTATTTGTTGTTATTACTTGAGAGGTAAATGAGTGTGCTGACTGCCAGAGATCTGTGGATAGMAGTGTTTCTTTCATGGAGAGGAGTGAAAGGTCACCCCAAGGTGCCTGGAGTAGGTGGATATGATGTGAAATGTGTTGGAGAGCATGCAACATAAGGAGTTGTGGGTTGTATGTGGTTTGCTGAGTGTGATCGCTGTATGAGTAAGTCTTAATTAAAACTAATGTGGTAAAACTGTAGATTGGGAGAAGATCTTASTTGATCCAATTAGTGGATGTGTTGTCATTGTGGTTTTAAGGTAACAATGTTTGACTGGGATTGACGTAGAGAAGCAGCTGGACTGGTTAGTTTGCTAGCTTGTGTTGTGATCAAAATACAAACAGATTGACTTTTATTTCTGCTCTCCTTTTTGTGCACATGTACATTAATTTCTCCAGGTTCTTGTCTTTATTTCTATGTTTCAATCACTTTCTACTGTAGGGTTATTTATTGACTGTATTGCCTAAAGGAAAAATGTAATCAAAAGGAAACAAACACTTACATCTGAAGCTTCAATGAAGTGCAAAATTAATTCAGTGGACTTTGGTCTCTTCACTAGAGTAGTATATGGTAGGTTGCATAAGGCAAAATCATGGTGTGCATATGGGGTCTGGTTTCAGAGTATCAGTGGTATCTGGAGGGAAATGCGTTTATTTCTTGTCAAAAATGTTCATAAGTTGTAGCTTTCAGTCATAGTTTCTTCAGTGGACTGTTCAGTGGCCTTAACCCGAGAGATAAACATATGGAAGGCTACAGATCTAAGATTTGTTTCTGTGGTCTTGACAGTGGGAGTTTTCTTTTAATCAATAAGCTTTTTTTTTTCCTTTCAGACATTTGTGGAAACTTTTCTGATTGCACTTCCTGTATTGAGAATAAGACAAATTCAGTAGTCTGCAAATGGATCAAATGTGAAGGTAAGGTGGGCTGCACCSTGCAGGTCCTTACTATGCCATTGTTAAGGAAACTTCCCTGTCTGASCATTCAGGAGACTCTGGCAGTCACACTTGCGCCACCAGAGACTCACTGCCACCCCTTTGCAGTGGATGACCTGACAAGTGCCCAGTTTGACTCCCTTCACATCCCCTAAAATCCAGTCAGACCAGGTTTCCKTACCAGTTCAGCCCCAGGTTTCCCATTGCAGAGTCTCAGATGTCTTCTGTAAAGCAGTTTATTCACAGTGCAGTAATACCAAAACAGCTTGAGCTGATGCCTCTGTGGAGGACCCCCAGCACAGGAATCCATAGACTTTTATACCCTCACAGTCTGSTGGTGAAAATCTAGGACAATCAGCTCCTGCCTTGTGTCTGTGTCCAGTCACCTGGCTGGGCCGCAGGTCCCCGTATCCTTTGTTACGTAAGGGACTGCAGATCCCAGCCTTTTGCCTGTCCTGCCACACTGAGCTCAACCTGCAGCTTGAACGCAGCTGCTTACTCTGCTGCTGCATTGGATGCACCATGCAGAATCTTACACCCAGCTAGACCTGCTTCATCTGCATTGATGTTGATTGCAACCTAATGAAGCATTAACACAATTCCCATCTGTCATTCATCTGTCTTCACTTGAGAACTTAASATATTTAAGATGTTCAGAATACTCCCAGATTTTCAAGGCTTCTAATTTAAATCTGTGCTGTTGATAAACTRTTTTATTTCCAGGTGGTTCATAATGTTTTTAGGACAAACTAGTCGCTTGTGTTTGCTGTTAGGGAGTCACAAGTTGATTCTGACATGCAGACACAGCTCTGTGCTTCAGCCTTTCGAAATTTTGTCATGGATCTGGTGGTCACAACCACTGCTGTACTGAAATGCAATAAGAGAGAGAAATTAATTAAATAGGAGTAGTTAACAGCAGTGTTCATGAAACTGAGAATKGCAGACCACTGAAGAGAATGTGATAGAGCTAAAGAAGCATTAGCTCTTCTCAGAGTGTTGTTACTCCCATTGTAGGTGAATGGGATGTAATTACATTTAGGTGACCTCTGGTACTCAGTACTGGWGGAAATGAAGTTGCTGTTGCCAAAGTCATGCAAAGATTACATAAGCAATCCTCACGTGGATTATTAGTACTTCTTACTTGAGGTAGAAACTGAATGAAAGAATGGGTTGACTGCACTAATGATTTTTGTAGCACTTGATTGTAGATGATCAAGAAAGGTTGTAGATGAAGGCTAGGATGCATTGGAACTAATAAAATCAATTTTGGATTCAACTTGCCCTTCAAGAAGCTATTTTTCTAATTCTGTGTGTGGTRTTGGGCCAACAGGCACATCCTGCAAAAACCCAAGAGATCTCTCACTTTTTTAAGGGAGAAGGGTATGCAGGCAGAGAACAAAAAAATTACATTTTCAACAATTTCAAGGTCAAGGACCAGTTGAAAAGCTGGGACAAAGTTTTGCTTGGATGTAGAATAGTAAGATATTTTTTTCATGATGCTACCATAGACGTGCAAAATGTTTAACTTGGACACTGCAAAATAGTAGAAACACTGATTTTATCAGCTATACTGGTACCAAGCTATACTGGTACAGCAAAATGGCGCATAATATATATTGTAAATATTGCATATGTGTTGAGTGGGGGAGTAACYGTAATGAAAGAAAACACTGAAACTTATGATATTATTAATATAATACTGAAATCCTGTATATTAAAGTGGCATTAATGTTATCTTGGCTAGCAGATGGTGTTTAGTTTGTCCCATGATCAGCTTATCAGTATTTAGGAACAATGTCTCAAAACACCTTAGACTTCAGCTGCTGTAATATATCTTGTCTCTTCTTTTTTGACAGACAAAGGCATGTGTGTCAATGAAGCAGAAAAATCTACAAAGTATGAAAAATGTGAAACTGAAATACAGTGTTCCTGTAAGTGTTTAGATACTCAGCTTTCATGTTGTTTAATGTGAAGCAGTTGTGTTTAGAAGTCCTTCGTCTTTTGGCCTTTTGTTGATATGCTTTCTACAATTTACATAAGCATGTACAAGTATGTAAATAAGCCCTTAGCTTCCTGCTTAAAGGTATGATATGTGATACTAAAATACACCATTTCATTGTGCATTCAGTGAACTGCTTACTGTTGCTGTTTCAAGAAGCCTGTTGTATTTTAGTGTACACGTCTCTGGCTACTGCCTTGGTTTCTTAGATTAAAATGAATGTTTCTTGTTAGATACAGCATATCCCAAGGACCTTGTCAGTGTCCTCGAGGCAGTAAACTGCATATTGAACAAAAAAGGTCTCCTGCTAGGTCATCTGAGATGCTGTAAATAGGAAGAGCTTATGARCCTTCCAGTTTTAATTGTTAACTAGCACAAGTCTTCATGCAGTTCTGAAATACAGGATCTGGGATATGGAACTGCYTAAGAGAAATCCTTCATGCTAGGAATGTGCTCAGTTGCATATCTACTTCAGACTTTTGTGCTTGCTTGCAGAACAGTTTTGCAGGATAGGAATGATTTAGATAAGATTTTGAATTCGACTTTCATGAAAGMCCCCCAATTTTAGTTTTTCTGAAAGCTGATAAGAAATGGACTTCAAAATAGGATTTTCTGGTTTTAAGATCTAGAACACAAAATTAAAATTCTGAATAATCTTGTCTAGACGAATTTGACATTGCTACTAAAGAAGATGGCTCACATCAACAGAGATGAAGCTTCCACGCTGCTTTGGGCTACMTTGTGGTGGTGACAGCCAGTCAGAAATAATTCCTTTTGACTTGGACTTGTGTATTGTTTGTAAATTTCTAACAATCACCTCCTAATCAGGAGTATTGAAAGAACCATATTTTAGTGCTTTCCAAAGAGAGCATGCTATTACAATGCCCTGTTCTGTACCTAAGGAGAAGTGTTTCTGCAATCTGCTGCTGTTAAGCTTTCAGTGATATTATCAGGTTGTTTAAGGTCTGCATATTCAAGGAAATTAATTGTTACTCTTAGTAGGGGGTCTTTGTCGRTAGGAGAGAAATATGTATACCTTATTGACTTTCACTTGTCGTGGCTCAACACTGCCTTAAAGCATTGACATGGGAAAAATGTAGGCAGCCTTTTAGGTGRCCTACAACAACCTAGATGCCAGTGGGAGCCAGGAGAATGTAGATTCTCATATATCCAGCCAATCATTGTGGTCACAGTCAACTCTGATTTCCCACCATGCTGAATTATGTGCAAGAGGTAAATAACCACACTTGAATGACCCTGAGTRTTAAAGGCTTCTGGACATGGTGCTTTTTCTGCAGAAGCTTGCTGATGTATCAGTTTAGATAAGCTGTTTTATGTGTGATTAACTCTGATAACACAGTAAGTTGTAGGAGGCTTCACAGTTCTGTCTTTTGGGGTTGTGAGGGGTCTTTCTTGTACAATATGTGCTGAAGTGGATTGCACCTACAGCAACAGCTTTCAGATCAGGAAGCTTTAGCTAAACTTAGAAATTCTTGATCAGTTTTGTCTCCATTCTGTTTCAGTTGTCTGATCAACTCTGATTTATAGTTGAACTTGATTGCTCAGRTTGAGTCTCAGTTGCAGTGAGGTTTGGAAGCAGTATTATATATCTAATTTTCTCCTGTGTAAAGCATGCACAGTTTCTGCTTGTACTATAGGGCTCTTCTCACTCAGGTTTGCTTTGAGGAATCTTGAGTTGCCAGTTGAACACTGGCTTGATTGGGCTGCCTGGGACAAGATTTTTCATATATTTACTCATGCAACTTTTGATATTAGTATGGTGGATTCAAAAACTTTGTAATCTCAAAGTAAAACTACAGTAGAACTCAGTGCTGTATGAAATTTCTGGAACTGTGCCTGCTGATGTTGTTTTATTGGGTTGGTGTTTAGTTAAATGCCATCATTAATCTCTCTAATGTAACTCTTTATTTTTTCATGGCTCCTACAGCTCCAGTTTCTCCTAGAAGCGATCCTGAGCACAATGAAACCACACCTACCAGTCCCACTGTAACACCGACCAAGACRACCACAGCATCTTCCACCGTGACCACAGCATCTTCCACCGTGACCACAGCATCTTCCAATGCTACCACAGCATCTTCCAATGCTACCACAGCATCTTCCAATGCTACCACAGCATCTTCCAATGCTACCACAGCCAGTTCTGCCACCACAACTCATACTCCTATAGGTAATACAATAGCACAGAATATAGAAGGGCAGGGAGCTAGGAACTGGTGAATAAAATGAAAGACAGGGCCTTCTTCCGTAGTTCAGTGTAGTAGCTTGACTACTAAACATCTGGTGTGTGGAATACATAAATGGTTCCAAGGTTTGGAAGAAGTGGATTTTAGAAAACTCTTAATTATGTTGGCAGGAAGCATTTTCTTTGTTAAAAATTGGCTGAGTGCTAGTTGAATGAATCATTTCCAATAAGCACGAATTCTTAGGAGTTTGTGTTTGTGTTTTTTGTTAAAAATTCTTTAAAAAATAATCTTTCTTGCTGATGAAAGGAGCTGAAAGGTAATCAGTTGGTACTTGATTACGTTCAGAACAGCAACCATAAAACTGTACAGTAGGGTGATGTTTACCTTTKAGTAAACCTAAACACGTTGACACTTGTCCCTGGCACATAGTGGAATACTGATTGATTTTTAATAATACTAATCTTTAGGGAAGTGGGGGAGAGGTCAGAGACACAGCTAATGTGACTTAATGAAAGTTTTTAGGAGACAGTTTTGTTTTGGGTGATTTTATTTGAGTGCTGGCTTTCACAGAGTGTGTATCTTCTGTCTAGTGATATTACATGGAGTACTTTTTTAGTACAATTAATACTGCCTGATTCTAAGGGCTGTTTAATGAGAGTCCTTTGCCTTGATGCAGATTCTCAGTTGTCTTGAAGCAACAGTCTTGATTCTTGTTCATACCAGCATTTGTATCAGTCCTCGAAAGAAAAGTCATTTTGTCTGAACAAAGAATCACTGTCAGGTCTGAGAACCTTGAAATACTTGGATAACAATAGTGTGCAAGTTTGAAAATAATCCTTATTGCAGAAACTTGGCTTAATGCCATGCAGCTCAACACGTAAATTGTGTTGGTTACAGTATGAGGGCAAAGCTTATCCTTATAAAAGCAAAACAGGAAAAATCATTTGTATAGGAACCTCAGTGCTTACAGACTTTGCTGTTGAAGTTTATAGTGTGTACATACTGTCTTCTCTCAAACAGCCAACGTCACCAATGCAACTACTCACGCTCCTCAACCTGCAACTACCATTACTTCAGCTACCACAACACCCACTTCTGCAGGTAACTGTTACTACTACCATAATTAAAGCATAAAATCCTCAGAAATCAGTGCTGCTTTAAAAGTGTTATCTTGAAAGATTCACAAAGTGACAACATTAAAGTAGTGTTGGTGTATGTGCTGTTGTCATTTCTAACCTTACAGCAAAACTTAATTTTGTTAAGGTGATGTATACAAGTAGCAAGGTTGTGTAGCCTGAGGAACAGAACTAGTTGATGAGATAATATAAGTCAGAAGCATGTTGGCCAGATGAGATCAGTTGGATGATTTTAATAAGTGTGGTTGGAAGACACTTGGTAACTCTCCTGTCTTTGGGAGGTGGTGTTTTGTTTTTGCAGTAAAATAATGGGATGCTTTTTTTATGTTTATTAAATGAAATTGTGCTACAGTAATGGGAATAAGCTGAAGTATTTTATTTTCAAGTCAGTCCTAAATATTCCATTCCATGAAAAGCACTCACAAAGTAAAGCTCTTCAAAACTAGTCATCAGCAGATGGCTAGTACTTCTAGACTTGTATTTGTAGTGACTTCAACTGGCTTTTGAAGTGGATTCTGGGCAAAGTACAGTAGATAAAAGGTAACAATTTATTTTGAATTTAAGGAAAAAAAAAAAACTGGAGCAAAGAGCAGTGACTGGAAAATGTRTCTTGGCTTTTTGAAGTACAAGTAAAGTCCAGCTGGGTATTGCTCAGTATTGAGGTCCAGAGCAGTTTGTCTATAAATAGCTCTGGCCTTGTCCAAACCACATTWAATCAGAATTTCAGTACCACTGATCTAAATACAGATGCTGGCGTGACTTTGCTTTTGTTTATTTTGTTTTCTTACTGGTGTTCTGATGTTTTGAGTAATCTTAGTTAAAAGAATCAAGCAGGAAAATCTGTAAAACTGTTGTGAACATTGTGCACTTACACACTTTCTGTTGCGGTGTTTAACAGGTTCAAATACTACTGTGGCTCCTGTACCTGGTCCACGCAAATCTACGTTTGATGCTGCGAGTTTCATAGGTGGAATTGTCCTTGTTCTGGGTCTGCAGGCTGTTATTTTCTTTCTGTACAAATTCTGCAGATCTAAAGACCGAAATTACCATACGCTTTAGGACYTGCCTCTTGGTAATGGACTAGTAGCCCAACACCTGTAGTTCACTGAACCAAAATATTTTCTGTTGTTCATGGAAGACAGCAGTTTATAATGTCCTTTAAATCTCTAAAAGAMGACTTTAAATGAATATTTTTGCAACATTATACTTGGCAAGAGGTGATATGAATCTCTTCAACAGGATTACTTGCAATATGCTGCATGGGTTCTAATGGCTGTTTTATTTTCTTTTAGCGGCTGCTGATGTGGGACTTTTCTTGATATGCCAAATGTAGACGTTCAGAGATTCTTATTCAGTGGCAACACTGTCCAGTAGACATAGACGTTCAGAGATTCTTATTCAGTGGCAACACTGTCCAGTAGACAATCTTAAGATGACTTATTCTGAAGGCTAATTTAAACATCTGATACAGTATCCCTTCAGTTTTATCAAGATGTGAATTATTGGTGACTGATTTCAGGGAGTGAAATGCCATTTATAGCAGCTTATGGCTCTTACAGTGTGTTGCTAGAAAGATGGACAAAAATGTAGAATTAGATAATATCTCAACAGAATAACATAACCCTTTTTTTTTTTACACAAGAATAAAAGTTGCCTCATAAAATACRTCATTCCAAACAGAATTCCTATGCCATTTGCAATTAATGAGGATGATGTAGGGATAATCCTTCTAATGGGKAAATAAATATTAGTGCCTTAAAAGACTAAATTTCAGTAGGTTGTGTGTCCCAGCTCTCTCAAAGACAAAACTTTTAAGTATTAGCTTTACATAGGAATATAGAATACTTGAGCATTCCAGTTTAAAAAAAAGTTTCCTAGAATAATTGTCCCTTATTGATTTTGTTTTACAGTGGGTAGTATGGTACAGTGATGTTCAGCTACAAACAGAAGCTTTGACTTGTTTACCTTCTGGTCTGGCCTACAAAGACCAACCATAAAACYAGTGATAAAATCCAGTTCACTCCCTGTATAAAAGGCAACAACTCATATTTATACTTGAAATACTGATGTTTGGGAAATCCTGATGTTTTTGTTACTCAAACAAAATTGCAATTTATTTCAGGACTTTGGGTTGTTTCTTTATTATCCTCCAGTATGTCTGCTTGCTGAAGGAGCAGTTAAGGGTTGTTCAGAGGATCTGCTGATTCGATCCTAGTCAGGATTGCTGTARTCCTGGGACTGCAGGCTACAGCTTTTTCCTTTCCCCTCCCTGCTTCCTGGCTTCAGGTTTGTGTTACCCTGCAGTGAACTGGTTAAGGAAATCTATTCAGCCAAATAGTTTAGGTGGGGTTTTTTTGGTTTTTTTTTTCCTTTGGCTGGATCAGCCATGTGATTTGAGTATCAAAGGTACGTCGTCTCCCAATGCAGACTGACTTGAGCACCTGTGAAAATAAACCCACAGGAAAAATGGAAATAGAGATAAAATCAGGTGGTGGATATAGCACATAATGCKTAGCTTCTGATGATATCCCTTGATCATCAGTTTTGGGATAATCTGTAGTACTGTCTTACTAGCTCTGACTTGACTGGAATTTGGCACTCAATACAAAAATAGCATTGATAGCAGATAATAGTCATGGCAGTGGAACTTGAATTATGAAGCAAATTCAGTGCACTTCAGCTCAAGTGTACAGCATTGYTTCCTTGTGTTCTAGTTTGAATGGCATTGTTTCTGTTGTGCTGCATAGAAAACTCAAATTGCTACAAAATGCAGAGGTTACTCACTAGTACTGTATCTTTGAGTTCATTAGCTTTTGGTTTTCTAAACAAAACTAAGACAATCAGCTCAGGTTCATGAAAACAGCAGTGAGCAGCCAGTTTTCAGCAAGAGTATGTGTGTTAGATGGTATATCCTTGGCCTTATTGTGAAATCAAATCTTTCCCTATCTAAGGACTATTTTACTACATTTATCTACTAAAAAAAAATCCATGAGCTTGTATTCTGTGCTTTGAAGTGAACAAAATACTCTTTTGAAATATGACAGTTTGCCTTTAGCTCAGCAAAGCATACTATACCTAGCATACAATTTTTGGCCTCAAAGGGCTCTCTTGGGAAACTTGCAGGAAAGTACTACAGAACACTTCATAGCATGGAAAACATTRCCACAAAAAAGTTGCTCTGTAAAATATTGATGAWATGCTTATTCAYGAGCTTTGCTAATCCTGATTTAGGYTGCTGATAAAGTATGCTGGTAAAGCAAAGTAAAATAATGTTTAAAGTGCCTTAAAATTGCTTCCTTGTTTGCCTCAAATTTTGTTTAAAAGKGTAGAAGGGGTACCTTGCCTTAGTTACTAAATTTGTCATGATGCCAGCAATTGCTGTTTTCCAAGACTTTAGGAAACCGAGGATCTCTGGCATGTACACATGCCTATCTGAAAAACTCAAGTTTGTGCTGTATCAATTTAGTGACATTCTGGAAGGTCTGCACTACACATCTTTTGCTCATTAGCCTTGCTCATTAGCAAGGTGTAATTCCACAGTTCAGAGTTGTGGCTTGAATTGTTTCCCTTTCAGTTGTTTGGGGGGAGGGGAGGCCGGGTTATACATCTTCACCGTGTGCTTGGCTGCCTCACTGTCGAAAGTATTTACTGCTTTGTGAAATGGCAGTATCAGCTGATCTGTGCTGTGTACTAGCAAAAAAACCTGAAGTAACAACTTGCAGTTTTTCTTGGCCTTGTGTTTTGAAGTGGAAGGTAGCTCATAGATCTGTAGTTGTACTTGCCCCTAAATCAGTTTTAGGCACTGAATCGTAGTGACTCTTCAAGTTATCTGGCTTTTTCTTGRAGCCAACTTGTGCAAATATCAAGCTGTTACCTTATGAATGTTCTCTGCAAGTGTTGCTGTAAAAGTTTGTATTTTGTCTTCAGTGGAGGAAAACTGAAGCAGTTGTAATCGCAAAACCAAATTGATGAATAAAATCTGTTGAATGGAATTTAACCTGTGAACTTTCTTTAATGTGAGCAATCCCTGAGAGGGCTGTCTGCTTTCTGACTTTCTGGAGATGAGCTGTTTCCCATGGGAATTGAGAAATAATGAGGGAAAGAAGAAGAATGGAAGTTTTGWAGAGTTGCTAGCTCTCCTAAAGGCAGCATTAACTTTGCATTTAGCAATACTGATTCAGATCTAGAATAAGCTTAAAAAAATGTTCATTTGGGTCATGTTTTTCCATGTTAGCTTTACTCTGTTTTCCACTTAAAGCCAAAGATGAGCAAGGTATGTATTAAGTTTTAGATTTGTGACAACCTGTGAGRCTTGATACTCCTCTTTCTAATAGCCAAGTCTGTAATACTGGATGTCAGGTGGAAGAGGGGCTGCCSTCTGTGTTTGAACAGAGGCTGTTAAAACTTTCATGAAAAAGGTATTTTCTGATTTCTTAGAACCATGGAGTGGTTGTGACTGGCAGGGACTTCAAGGATCATCCAGTTTCAACTCCTCTGCCTTGGCAGGGACACCTACACTGGGTTGCTCCAAGGTTGGATGGAGCTTTAACATTTYCRGGGATGGGATATCCACAGCTGCTCTGGGCAACCTGTAGACTCACTCCAGTGGATTTGATGGATGCAGTACTCTGGGTGGGTTTTCAGAAGAGCGGCATGGAGAGTGAGAATGACCTTCCATGACCCGCTGATCACCCTTGCTTGATAAAGCCCAGGACGCAGTTGTCATTCTGAGCTGTGAGTTTCACATTGCCTGCTTATGGTGGGCTTCTCATTGGCCAAAACCTCCAAGTCCTTCTCCTCAGGGCTGCTCTCAGTCCATTCACTGCCCAGCCTGTATTTTTATGKGGGATTGCCCAGACCCAGGTGCAGGACCTCGCACTTGGCCTTGTTGAACTCCATGAGGGTCACAAAGTCCCACCTCTCAAGCTTGCCAAGGTCCTTCTGGATGACATTCCTTCCCTCCAGCGTGTCCACTGTATCTCAGAGCTTGGTGTCATTGGGAGACTTGCCGAGGGTGCCTTTGGTCCCACTGCCTGTGTCTGACAAAAATGTTAAACAGTGCTGGTCCCAATACCGAGCCATGAGGACACCACTCATCACTGGTCTGCTTTTGGACATTGAGCCATTGACTACAGCTCTGAGTGTGGTCATCCATCCAGTTTCTTATCCACCAGATGGTCCATCTGCCAAATCCATGTCTCTCCAGTTTAGAGACGAGGATTTCGTGTGGGGCAGTGTCAAATACTTTGCACAGGTCAAGGTAGGTGATGTCTGTCACTCTTCCCTCATCCACCAGTGCTATAACCCCATGTGGAAACCCACCAGGTTTAGTCATTAATTTGTCCTCAGTGAAGCTATGTTGGCTGTTACTAACTGCCTCTTTATTTTGTGTGTGCTTTAGCACAGATTCCAGCAGGAGGATTTGCTCCATCTTCTTGCCAAGCACCGAGGTGATGCTGACCAGCTTGTAATTCCTTGGGTCTTCCTTTTTTTCTTTTTTTTTTTTTCTTTCTTTTAGGTGGGGTTATATTTCCCCTTTTCCAGTCAGTGGAAACTAAACCAGACTACCATGACTTTTCAAGTATGATGCATAGCAGCTTGATCTGCCAGTTTCCCCACATGCCAGGGAATTTTTCAGTACTCTTGAGCAAGAGAGCAGAGGGTGTCCAGCTGTGGGGGAAGAAGCCTCAGTTTCCTGTCATGACCCTGATGCTTATGTGGGTAGTGTAGCAAGTGTGAATGTGTATTGACACAACGCAGTCTCATATGAGAAATTGCAAAAATGTAATCATAGTTCTGGAAAGGCTGTATGGGAATGAAGGAAACCTAGAGCTTCCTGCTGTTAYTAAAATTTTTATGCCTTCCAGAAAATGATACATCTGCTGCACACAGTTAAGAAATTCAGTTTTTGTTACAATGCACCACTGAAAGTCTATGCACAATTGTTTATCTCTATAGTACCAGTCTTGTGTTACTGCTGTTTTTTGAAGACAAGCTTCTGTAGGTATAAAGATTTTTCTAAAATAGTCTTTGAATTTTGCTATATTGAGTAATACTCCAGTATTTTAACAAGAAGCTGTGATTACTGGGGGGCGGCTGCAGTGGCACATAAGTGCTTCATACTGATGCTATTGCTCTACTTCCAAATTGGCATTTGGTTTCTGGAGTGTGCTAAAATCACATTTGATGGCTTCTCTGGTGACAACTGACCTTGGTAGTTATCACTCACCTTGTTCTTCATTTATTGCATACCTTTAAAAGGACTCCAGTTGTTGGATCACTGATTCCACAGCATTCTGAGCATAAAGTGACTTGTTTTGATGCAGCAGCAAGCTTGCATGAAATAAAACTTGCTTCACTAATGGTGAAGGA